AGAGACAGCCCTATAATATATTATTTTCACAGACAGAAAAAAAACTGCAAAAAGTACTAAAAAAAAATTTAACGCGACGGAACACAAACAATAAAATTAATTTGAAAAAAAAAAAAATGTTTTTGTTTGTTTGTTATTGCCTAAGCAGCTCAATGAGCGAAACTGGCCGTTTCCACTATGGTAAAACTTCACCAGAATTTCCCAAAATCACTCCGCTCATCCCCACTGATTGCCTGACCCTTTTCTTGTAAATGAACGTCAGACTTCCTAAGTAATGATCTTTTTGTCTTCTGTAGCATCGAGTTCACACCATCCTCACCGCGGACCTGGTCATAGTGATGCGTCGGGGGAACATTATGGAGTACGACACGCCGGAGAACCTTCTTGAGCGGGAAGACGGGATCTTTGCTTCGTTTGTCAGGGCCGACATGTGAACTATTTTTTTGAACGCATGCCATATTTTTATAGCTTTTTATATGAAAATGAAGTGTTTATATTTTGTATTTAAAACAAAGGCGCGGTGGTCAGCCGGGCCTGAGAACTTGAATCTTTATAAAGATTTTTTTTTTCCAGACTTTGTACAGCACTTAGCAATAACGTTTTTCTCACCGAAAAAATACAAGTGTTAAATAACGCTTTCCGTTATTTATTACTATATGATTATAACTCGCAGAGACACCGGACGGTTCAATGACATGCGACCATGGCACCCGGAGGTCTGTGAAGTTGGTTTTTATACTAGGTTTATAGCCTTCCTGACCTGATATTATGGACCCTAGATGCCAAGATCAAATTTAGTCATCATATGTCGGTTATCTTGACCAGCCTTTCTCAACCAGGGTACTGTGGCCCCTTGGGTGTCTTCTGGCTTCTTCAAGGGGGGCCTTGAAAATTGTGCCCAGCGTCATGCCTTTCCCTGGTGCACGCGTGCTACTGATGTGAAGGGTCTCATGATATAAAAGAAGGGACTGTGATTTGAAGGGGGTTTATCTGTATTTAGCATTTTTACATTTACATTACTTACATTTTAGATTGGGCTGCCTCAAGATTTTGTCTAATTCTAAAGGGTGCCGATAAAAGGTTAAGAAACGCTGATCGTTACAATGATTTTATAAATTACTGATTTGCCACCTAAATCATTTTTACACTTTTTGAGAATATGTAATAAGTTGGTGCAATGTTTTAATAAATATTTTTATTATAAGCCAGAAAAAAATGTAAAAAAAATATGTTTTCGTTATTTTACACATTACAGTTTTTAATCAAACCTTGTAATGATTTTTTTTTTAAGCATATAAATCTTTATTAGGTTTTCCATAATGTAATGATTTTTAACACTGTGTGTCTTTCTCTGTGCACAGTGCAGAGGGAAAAGAACAGCTACAGGCTGGAGAAATTGTTTATAAACAAACTTCCAGCAATCGAAATGATTGGCTGTCACGGAGATCACATGATTTGGAAGAACACTGATTGATTCTAGATTAATATTCCAAGACTGTCATTGACCGTGGATTCTCCAAAATAGGAGCGTGCACAAAAGTTCTCTCCTAGTCCACAGCTCCAATGTCGATTATTGTTCTCACAGCATAGGAAACAGTGCCTGAAAACATTGTTCTACACATTGCAGATGCTGAATGGTTAACAATGTTTTATCCCGGGATCAGTCAGTGTTATATTGTACAGATCCCAGAGAGAACAGCCAGGCAGCTTGCCACAGAGATGTTACATTGTCATTTTACTGCCACCGAACAAGTAATAATCCTGATAGTATTTAACTCAGCACCTCAGCGGGTGGCAGGAGAGAAAACTGGCCATGAAGTGGCACAATGGGAATTCAGCTTTTACTAATTGTCACAATGCCAATTCCCAGCCCAGAAAATCTGCCAAGATTTGCAGAATAAAACGCAGCTCCAGCTAGTAAATCATCTGTGCTTGTGCTGTCCAGGAAACAATACACCTTTCAGAAACCTTTAAAGAGGGCTTGTTAGAAGTACTGCAGCCTCTGGTCACTTAATTCTATTATTTGTGGGCTGATGGCGGGGGGACGACCAAGCTGTAACCAGTGAACACACCGGCTGCATTTCCATAGACTCCTGGGCCTTTCAGAGGCATGTGTTTAGCAGGACAGCCAGGTACAGGTGATGAATTCAGGTGGTGACTTTTTTTTTTGGACCAGGCAGTGTATATTATAGTTTGGTGTAAAAGTCCAGCCAAACCAGCATCTGGGCTCTCAAAACCTGCCATGAACAGTAATAAGGGTAATGAAAGATGATAAATTATACATCTGTGAAGTGTAACAGCGCTTCCGCAGCCTGGATTAGAGTTAAATGATGGCACCTGGTGTAGTCCTCATTTTGGCTGACTTAGATGGTGGTTACTGTCTTTAGTGTTTGTTGGACGATAGGCAATTGCCCAATCTTTGGTTATTGGCCAACAGAGCTCCTATGGGCAGACTATTCCATTGACACAAAGTGCGAAAAATAAAATATGAATAAAGTCTGTGACCCCCCCTGAGCTTATCCGTAATCAACCAGCTCTTGGTTACACATCTAGCATGGGTTCCAAGCCCACCAAGAACATTATCTGCATGGAGTGCTCATGGTCCCCTCCTGTCATTAATGGTGTGTTGTACACAATGTTGGAGAAACAGACAAAAGTTGTTCGTCCAACCAAAACTGGAAGATAAATTCTAGCTCCAGAAGGCATCTAAGAACCTCCAAATGATTTATCCCTCTTGAGCTGACCACACATATTACATTCTGATGGCGCAATCTTCTTCAGGTCTACCAAGAACTAAGGAGTGCCAAGGCCTGCCTGATTGGATATAAATGGAATGGACTGTTTAGACCCTTCTAAAGGTGATTGTAGAGAGATTGTAAAATCTAATTTTGTATTGTTGGCTTTAGACAATCGATCCTTTAACTTGGAATCACTCGTTTCTGGAGATCATTATCTTATGTCTGTGGAAGGCAGAATAGTCCTCTACAGTTCACCTGGGCAAAGACTGAACACAGCAGGTCCCTGATAGCCTAGGAGTTATCCCAACAGGCCGTATAATTGCTTTCCTTTTAATGAAATTAACAATATGCAACATAATTCTAATACAAATCCAAAGCCATTTAAGGTTTTTGAGGGTTTTTTCTGCCTTTTCTTTTGTCAGCAAGACAAACCACAAGGGTGAATCTACCCAATATGTGAACAGAACAAGGTAACAGATACAGGTGAAACTCGAATAATTAGAATATCGTGCAAAGTTCATTTATTTCACTAATGCAACTTAAAAGGTGAAACTAATATATGAGATCGACTCATTACATGCAAAGCAAGATAGTTCAAGCCGTGATTTGTCATAATTGTGATGATTATGGCTTACAGCTCATGAAAACCCCAAGAACCCCAAATCCACAACCTCAAAAAAGTAGATTATTACATGCAATCAATAAAACAAGGATTGTACATAGAACAATATCGGACCTCTGAAAAGTACAAGCATGCATATGTACTCAGTACTTGGTTTGGGCCCCTTTTGCAGCACTTACTGCAATTACTTTTGCACGATATTCTAATTATTCGAGTTTCACCTGTATATAGGACATAAATACATTTACATATGTTTATTGTATTTATTCCCCAATTTGCACACTGCCGCTTGATTATTGATAACAAGTTCCATTTTTATGGTGACCTTAATGATAGCAGAGAGTCGGGTATAGGGGACCCTCCATTGTCATCTCTGGTGATGGGTGTATGGAGAGTTTTTCCATAGTATTGCTGATATTGTAACATTTTAACCATCTCCTGACCAGAACTTTTGGCACTTTGTGTAAAGCTGGGATGTCACGTTTATACACTCTGGCCAGAGATGAAAGCCTCACTTCCACTTCACTCCTTCCAAATATTTATCAGAAAATTAAACGTTTCTCTGACTTCTCATAAAGTTTCATAAGTTCATGAAAACCACAAATTCTTCTTTATTTTTACTGAAAGAATTCAACTACAAATATTTGACTTTGTATAGTGATGAGACGGTGGATCTGATGTACTAAAATAAATAAGAAACAGCAGGGATAAATCGATGGGGTACATTTGGATAGTGGGGGAGTGTAGTTGACCTCTGTACCTGACTCTGTCAAGCTGAGTGGTTTAACAATTGCAATAAACTGATAGGGTACACTTGGATTGTGGGGGGTGGGGGGATGTAGTTGATGGCGGTCCCTGACCCTGTCTAGGTGATGGTACACTGATATTCAGTGCGTACAGTGAGGATCTGGATTACTGCACACATTGAACATCCAAATAATGGTCCCTTAAAAGAGAACTATGGGGTTAGTGTTTTTCCCCATAGTTCTCCTAAGGGTCACGGGAGGACACAAACTAGCGTCCTCCCGTGACCCAAAGCTCACTGTAGCTCGCGGTATACTGAGACCGCCGCAGCCGGGATGCATCCCGACATTACTGTTGAGATCCACCCAGCTGCGTGATTGACAGCTTATAAATACCACCAAAAGAAAGCTCTATCTGTCCCCAAAAAAGGGTATAAAATTCATTTCAGTACAGCGCTGCATGACGGAATAAATGTCAGTCAAAGTACCGCAGCGCTGAATACTGAAAAATGGCCTGGATGGGAAGGGGGTTTAACACCGCGGATGTCAACTGGTTAATGCCTTCTCCACCTACAGGCTGAACCACAGAATGCACATGTTAACATTTATCTGAAAAATGTCCGCCATCACCTTCGCAACATTTCCAAAATAAGCCCCTTCCTCACCAATGAAACCTCAAAACTTCTCATCCACTCACTTGTTATCTCTCGTCTTGACTATTGCAACTCTCTCCTCATTGGTCTATCTCTACACAGGCTATCCCCCCTTCAGTCCATCATGAATGCAGCTGATAGACTCATCCCCCTAACCAACCGCTCAGTGTCTGCAACCCCCCTCTGTCAATCCCTGCACTGGCTTCCATCCTCCACCCTCCTCTGCCAATCCCTGCACTGGCTTCCATCCTCCACCCCCTCTGCCAATCTCTGCACTGGCTTCCAATAGCACAAACGATAAAAATCTAAATATTAACAACGACTAACAAAGCCATTCACAACTCTGCACCCGGCTATATCTCAAACCTTGTCTCAAAGTATCACCCGAACCGTCCCCTCCGCTCTTCCAAAGACCTCCTGCTTTCCAGCTCCCTCGTCAACTCCTCCCATGCTCGCCTGCGGGACTTCTCTAGAGTTTCTCCCATCCTCTGGAACTCTTTACCCCAACCTGTCCGACTATCTCCCACTCTGACTGCCTTTAGGCAATCCCTTAAGACTCATCTCTTCAGGGAAGCCTATCCCACCTCAACCTAACCACTGAACCACCACATTTGCAAACAATTCATCCCCACACAGCTACCTCCTCATGTATCACTTTCCCCTCCCTTTTAGATTGTAAGCCCTCACGGGCAGGGCCCTCCTTTCCATCTTGTCTTGAATTGTAGTGTGATTGTAATGTCTTCCTTATTTTGAAAATCCTGTATAATAATAATAATATATACAGT